TTTCTCTAATAAATTCTCGCGAACGATAATTAACGTCACGCACAGACATTATTACAAATGCGGAGAAAGCCGGCGTCGCGAAAATTGCATATATTACATCGCAATAATTTGTTAATAATAAGCAAAAAATCTAAATATATAGCAAAATTTTATAAGAATTTATAAGAGAGAGAAAGAAAATATATATGTATCAAATTTTTATAATTCTGCCGCATACACAATTAAGCGTACAATATTTAAAAGAGGTACTTAACTTGTGAAAAAATTAAATTTTTTTGCAAATGTGTAAAAGGAAGATAAATTAGCAAATTGAAAACTTATGATATTATTATTGTAAAATCATCGAGAAAAATTCTGAGAAAGGATTAAGAAAAGAAAAAGCGAGATAAACTACCGCTATCTTCCAATTTACGTTATTTCGATATTCCCTTCTCTTATCTTCGATTGCTTAACGCAATTATTTGTCGCTTAACTGCTAATTGCAACGCGCAAAACCATTTCAACCGTTTAGTCGTAAAGGTGTGATCTCATCGTTTGCGTCGCGCGAATGCAATTCAGCAAGTTCGATCGCGAATAATTTATTTCGGTCACTTGAAGAAGAACATTTTGAAAAGAGAGAGAGGTATATTTGATTAAATTTGATTTGAAAAAATTATTGCGTCGTAATAAACAAGCATGTATCGATTATATAATAACATTAATATATATTATAAAATACATAAAATATTAATTTCATTAATTTATGCACGATATTACATAACATCGATTTTATTATATAATATTAATATTATTGTATATAAAATTAAATTAATATATCAACGATATTTTTTTCTCGATATTTAATTCGATTCCCCATAGATCGGTCCGTTCGTCTCATTTCATGCGGTCCCCTGGGCGGCTGCAGTTATGCAAATCGAGATGATACACCATTAGTGGTATCCCTCCGGCGCGTCCTTCTCCGCGGAAGCCAATCAGCGTCGCGAGAGGCGCGTAATTAGCAGTTACATTATATCCTTCGGCTTTCGTGCGTATATGCATGAGGCATTGGCAACGAGTGCGCGCACTCACACTCACACACACAGTTGTTCTCGCGCTTGTTAGGATTCATAAGGCGAACGTCGCGTTACACGCGACCCGGTGGCCCTCATTAGAGCTCTAATTGCACGTGATTATCCCGGCAATTACCCGGGAATACATTACGACTCGCCAAATCGCGATCACGTGGGCGTCGCGTCATGTCGCAGCTTCGCTCTCGTGCTCGAAAGTATACATCGCTAATCTCGCTCCTCATCATTAATAACAAGTTTTTCACTCGGATCAAACCTATCATCTTCTATTGAAAAGTACTTTGATACTAACCTAAGTCTCTGCGATTTATAGAACCAACGTATTGCAAAACTTATCTAGTGAATTACATATATATGTATATGTATAACCGTACATCTGCATTCTTGCAGTAAAGAATACATAAATGTTTACAATTTTCAAATTAATTAAATTAAAGGCTCAAGGAAAATTATTATGATGTAGCATTTAACATGCTACATCATAATAATTTTCCTTGAGCCTTTTTAATTTAATTAATTTGAAAATTGTAAACATTTATGTATTCTTTACTTTAAATTATTCAATTGAAAACATGGCATTCCAATGCTCTTTGAAATTTTTTAGAATAATAAATATTATTTTTTTTTATTATCTTAACTAAGAAGATTAATCGATTTTTGTTTGGATGTTCTTTTGAATATCCATCATTATACAATGCAAAGTCACGCGTAAAAATTTTATTAGCCGATAATCTAAATCAATGGCAAAAATCCAATCGATTGTCAAAATTTCGCGTGGATATTCGCATCTTACTAACGATAATACTAGCTAGATGCTCTTCGGCATCTTTGAGTGACGAGAGAAATGGATGGCGACGGCAAGAATACCGTTGTTGAACTTGTAGAATGCATTTATCTGAAAGCTCGCAAATTCTCCCGACCGACATCCGTGTCTTGTTAACATTAGTGGAAGTAAACGCAATCGCCATGAGAAAGAAAAAAGAAGCTGCAACCTGAAACCACTTATTCTTGCGCGATCATGCTTTCTCATGCGAGACGACATTTAACGACAAAGTCGATAAAATTATTATTTATTCGTAATCGTTGTTTTTTTTCCTAGTTGCTTAATGACAAAAAGTTTATATATAATTACGACCTCATATGCGTATAATAATAAGAGGATCGTATATGTAATTACTAGGTTTACGATCTCGCGTTTTCTCGATAAATATACATGTATGTATGTATGTATATATAAAAATGAATGTTTATGGAATTGTCAGATAGACGTGATCACGAGCTGACCTTACTTTCAAAAGGGGGGGAAAATAGACACCGATTAAATATATTTTCCAAGCAGTTTGGCTTATCTTTTTTACGATACGTAAAAAACGATTTGCATCACCAAGTGGGTACGAGTTTTTTTTTTACGGCACGATAGTAGCTACGTCATTTATCTATACCTTCTCAACATTGTAGTTGCTTTTCCTCGCATATATTTAAGATTGATTTTAACTATGGAAAAGAGTCTTGAATATTTTACACACGTATTTCTAACGTGTTTCTAACACTTTTTTTTACTACAAAAAATCAAACTTAAATATCCTTGCGATACAATTACTCTATTACTAGAAGCGACAAAAGAATAAAAATAAAAATTTGTGAAATGCAAATTTTTAATATAGCATATATATGGAGGGGAGGGAGAGAAGGTTAACTTTTACAGAGAATTTTACCGTAAACTATCTAGCTGCACATCCTCGAATTTCGCGGCACTGACAGAAAAAACAATCATTACTTGTTTATATAGCAATTCTTTTGCATGAAATAATCACGGAATGCAACAAAGAGAGGAACGATGCGAACGAAAGGAGAGAATGAAGAGGAGAACGCATGTCAGGAGCCCGTTTTGAAAGCATTCCGACGTGGTAAGGGCGGCCAAGATGGCGTCCGCTTTCAGTTTCAGTGATTCCTCGTTTTCTCTTTCTCTTTCGGCTTAATTTCCCATACCGTCAACCGTTCCTTGTCATCTTGCCCTTTTTAGGTGCGTGCCTTACGCCTATGGAATACGTAACACACGCAACACGAGCGCGCGCCATGATAATGTATACGTAATGCAACGCATCTGGAGTGCGCTTTTACGTGTGATTTTACATTTGTCCTATCCCTACACGCATGCATGTGTGCGAACGAAACGCTATCGAACACCACCGAAAGACACACTTCCACCCCTCGGTCACGGATTAGCATATCAATCCCCTCGTTATATGGCCTCGATGGTCTCTCTCTCTCTTTTCCGCTCGATCCGCGCCATTAAGGTTCGCGCGAGTATAATAGTGTATAGCCATTGTTACATTCGATCGCGAGTTCTATTTATGATATCTCGACTATAGGTAGTTACAGATTTTAAATCGGCTCTATTTGACACGCGAATGCTAGTTAATTGGAAATTTTAAAGCAGTTCTATTTGTCATGCGAGCTCTAAAACATACTCTCTTTAATGCTTAAACTCTAATTACAGATTAGAGGAGTGCTGTTTAATATCTACAGAGTGAATATCTCTGGAGTGATGAAATGAAATTAATGTCATTTGCAATTAATTGATTAATCAATAGTAAAAACAAAGAGAAATAGAAAAAGAGAGAAAAATTATAAAAATAATAAAAATATAAGAATAAAATAAATGCTGGCTATTTGGACTCGGTGACTCACTATGATGATTAATGAACGTAAGTGAGATCAAATAATCAAATCTTAAAAGTGAGATTTTTCTCAAGTCCATATCATATTTCTATACGATTTTTTCATAAGTTCTTCCTCCTCTTCTTCATAACTTCTTCACTACATTATTATTATTATTAATAATGTTGATATTAGTTCTTAGGTTTGATAATAATAAATGTCGATGATATCGCTAATAAATATTACCGACGGGCTGCATTAATCTATCACGTTTGATATTATATTATAATCTACCGCTATATTAATAATACTGAAATACGATATTGGCTGAATATACGTTAACGGAGACCTTGTGAGCAAATCTTGTTTGGACAAGCTCATCAATATAGTTGTCAATATTCCCGCTTTTTCGTCGAGATAATCCAATATAGAAGTATGTTTAGTAATGCTAATTAATGCTAATCTGTAACTGTTTATCATTACCACTACAGGCAATCGTATAATCCATAAGGAAACAAAGAAGCGATGAAACTAGTTAATTAATGTCGATCTGTAATGATCCATAATTTGTTGAGTGCGAAAAAAAATTATTGCGAGATATCACTTTTTTACGATTGCCGGCTTCGCGTGCTCCATCGATGAAGTGTCAGACGCATTGCATCGCCGTGATGATATAATTGTTTTTTTTTTTTTCAATCAAGAGTGTATCGCGCGCGTATTCAGCGCGACAAACAAAGTGTAAAAAAAGTGTAAATGAGATTATTACTGCGAAACGAGTAGGGAAAACAATGAGGCTTGCTGCGTACGCGAATCTATCTCCGAGCGATACGCGATCCTCTCGTGGCAATGTAAGAAATATCAATCTTTCTTAACGCGTCTCGAGAATGCTAATGTCGCGCCACTGACATTGCTTTATTAATTCCGCGTAGCATTTGCATAGCGCGTATATCACTCAGGGTAATAGGAAACACATGTGCACACCTGAGATAATCTAATTATCATTCTTAATCAAACTGATTGATTAAATCAATTGAAAATTGATTATTAATCAATTTTCTTATTAAATATTTGATTTACAACAAGATAGTCGATGTTACTTGATAATCTCCATGCCGAATGGCAAATAATAATAATAATTATTATTATTATTGGTTTGTTATTAGAATTACGCAAAAGCAATTTCGATTAAGATTCCAATTTGATTAAAAATTATATTAAACCTTTTGGCTTAATTTCTTTTTACGTTCACGATATAAATATCTTCACGTTTACCTGCGTTTCCGTCAACGACAACGTCTGCGCCAACTGCTTCCTTTCCGCGCCGACGACGTAGTGATTTTTCTCAAAGGCGTGTTCCAGCTTCAGCAGTTGACTGGGACTGAAGGCTGTCCTTATTCTCTTCGGTTTTCTGAAGGGTTGAAGCAGGAAACCGGGTATGTCAGGACCTGAAACGCAATCAAAGTGTTAAAATAAAAATGAGCTCTTAAATTAAATTACAACTCGAGAGTGAAATTAACTCTCGAATTAAATTCGAAAAGTATTTAAATTTCATTTAAGAGAGTTAATTTCAAATTTTAACATAACCTAATAATATATCATCATGATATCACTTATTAAAGCTTAAAGAATGAGGTGAAAGCGCGCAGTGAAGGAAAAAAATAAAAAGCGAAATTACCACAAAGAGAGTATTATTAAGGAGAAAGAAAAATGTTGAATCTAAATAATGAGTCATACGATATGAATCGACGAAGGTAAGAACGCGTAATTCAACGCCGAGAAAAATAGCAATTAAATTACACGAGGAACTACCCGCATAACATTTTCTCGCGATCAGTCGGTTGGCAAGCGAATGAAGGGGGAAGGGGAAAGAAAAATAGAGGTCGTACGATTTATTAACGATTAATTAATTGTTAAACGCCGCGACGTCGTCCGGTTAGTATCTGTATATTGTGGTGTCGCCTTGAAAATAAGTAACCGGCACGCAAGCCGTAGAAATTCGTTCACAAACTGAGGGGAAGTGCGTGCCGGCTAAGAAAGAAAAGAAACACCTATTCTCGAGGCCGAGAGAGAAAGAGCCAGGAACTCGGGGCCAGGTAATTGAGTATTCTACCACGAAAAAGCCATGTCGATCGGCCGATAGCCACGTCTGCCGGAAGTCACCCGAGATGCTTTAGCGGAAAGCACGGGACGATAAATCGCCACGTCGCCCCGCACCGTTTCCCTTCGACGCGTGACTATACCTCTCGACCGTATTTCATGCGGTGCATTAATCCGATTTCTAGCACTCGCCCATGAGGTGGTCGAGGAGAAAAAATTGCGAGAATGGTATCGAAAATAATCGTCGAGATTGATAAGGAGCGGTTGAAATAATTTAATATAGATATCTTAGATATTTTTCACATATAGAATAAAAAATACTTTGCCCACACAATATAAGGATACGAGTGTGAAATTGATCATTTAAAGTAAATGTAACAAACTATCGGACTCCCCTCCTTTTCCGCATGACGACCACCGGCATTAATTAGCATCTACACGTACCTTCCGTGTTATTATTCATTGCGGTTTCTAAATTACAGCGTCAGCGCGCAAAGTGATCTAAATAAGTCACGCTCAGTAGGTTATACAGCTAGCTAACCGGTATAACGTACACACGACCAGTCGCAACGGTGAATCGTATCATTTGCATTGCGAAAAATTTATCCACCAGGATCCACTGAGCGGCTGAAACTGACAAGTTAATAACTGGATAGTCGAGCGACTGCTATATCCTCCTACCATCTGTACGTTTCCCATATTTCTACCGGCTGCAAATTCGCAATTGCAGCGCGCGCGTTAAAACTGTCAAAGCGATCCAAAAATAGATGAGACGCGGCGATCAGCATCGCGATTGGTCGATGAATCATTTCGTTTGATGCTGTCGATACTCGGACAATGCATGATATCCGTTTAAGTAATGGACCGGGATCCTTGAGGTTCGAGTACAGGTCATTCGATCTATATTGAAAGCGCGAGTCTCATTTGCATCGCGAACAATTCGCCATATTCATAGCCGAGGTTATAGGCGTATCATTTCAGGTGACCTTCTATGACAATGCTATAAGAGTCACATTATCCTCATTTTAAGAAACAAAAGGCTCTGTGAAATTAATACTTAATAATGAGCACTTTCATGTATAATCCAGAATTAATTTATTATAATGTTTTAGAGAATTAATTTATTATTGTTTATATTAAAAAGAAAGATAGAATGGTCGAAGGAGATTTTAATTAAGTAGTACATCTCTTCAAGTGTATTTATAACTTGATATCGCTATTTTAATCGACGTCTCGTTTCCCCCGTTGTCATTCTTTAAAATCACGTTTCCGCAGAAAAATCGCAAAGCGAGCCGTCTTAATTAGCGCGTCGCGTACGCGTAGGCGTGTGCTGCTTAAGTAAGATGCGCTTCCACGTGCGAGCGCATTCTTGTTAATCGCGCGGCGAAGGTTGATCCTTGGAGGGATCAAAGCGCCTTGCGTGCAAATAGACGCATTAATCAGCGCTATCTAGAGGTGGCGAAAATGCGGCCGCGCGCGTAATCCGTCGTAATTCACATAATCCACATACTTGAAGAAATGTAGCATAAGGGAGCTTCGTTTTATCTATACGACTTTCATGAATATATTCATGCGACAAATTTATCGACTATTTCAATGTTGATATATTAATATATATATATTTCATAAAACGTAACAATTTATCGATTAAATCGCAGGACAAACGTCCTGCGATAATTTACTTCTTTTCGTTGCAGCAACAAAGGGAGTGAGCCTAGATAAATGTAAATTATATCGAATTACACAAACGGGCGAGTCTGTACAGGTACATACACGGTCGACGCTAATTACAGCAACGGAATAAAGGATCATTAGCGGCGCGCCCGTGCGTGAAGCGATCGCTATTTATGTGGGTAATGAATAGTAATGCAGTGACTCTTACTGCGACTGTGTTCGGCCGCAATTTTGAATGCGCGACGTATACTGTAACCATGAGCCGCAACTATGAAGTAACAATCGCGTTTCACCAATAATTAATCAGTTAGCTGGCTAGAATAACATTTAACGACGCGAGAAAAGAACGAAATAATAGACGCGCGCAATAAATGGTTATCGGTTTTTTTGTTACACATATTTTAATATTTTATTCCACACGTATGTATATTTACATAGTGAAAAATAAAATATTATATTTTAACATTTTTCACATGTCTCAGAAAGTCCTCTTTAAATTTTAAGTTGAAATAACTCATTCGTCGTATGTTACTTATTGACAAGATAAAAATGTTAAATAATTGACACAAGCTTTACATCTATTTTTGTTATTGTGACTTCAAGTGTAATGTAAAAATAGCATACAAATTATTTAAAAGTCACATGAAAAAATAGTTACAATAACTCGTAAGAATTGTAGGACATTAACATATAATAGTAATTATTTTGACTTAAATTATTTGTAATGGAAACATTTGATTTTAGTAAATTTGATTATTTTGTATGTCAAAGTTCAAGACTATTTGAAGATTCACTTTAACTTTTCTTAGAATGTTAAACTCACTTTGAAACATATTGATTGTTTAAAATGATTATGTTAAAATACTTAAAATAATATTCCATTTCTAAGAAATAAAGTATTAAGTTATGAAGTTGACATAAATGTAACATATGAAAACGTTATAAAAATAATAACGTATCAGTTGTATGTTAATTTTACATTGAAATACCAATGAAAACGTGGTAACACAAGAAAATGTTAACATATAGACGCACAATTTTTTATTGCGTAATAATTTTAATTGCATCTTTAAATACTTTTCAATTCTCGTGAAAGAGGAGGCGAAGAAAAAAAAATTACGAACAAGGGAAAGATCCTATATCGTTCGATCTTCGGAAATGCCGGCGATCCGCGATCCCTATCGATCCCGCGGCGAGAGATCGCGGAATAGATACTTCATCGTAGAGAGGTCGTCGTCGTTAGCGATTCCCTAAGAGCTTCCTAGACATCGCCTGGAGCGGCACGCTTATCTCCTTCTTAACTCGTCCTTTACCGAGCGGAGCAGAAACAGAGAAAGAAGAAGAAGAAGAAGAAGAGGAGGAGGCGAAGAAGAAACCACGACAACGACGAAGACGATGACGAAGACGACGAGGAGAAGAACGACATAGCGCGAGGAACGAAGAAGACGACGCAAGGAACGAAGAGACGAGTCGGACGGCCTGTAATTACGGGAAGCTTGTGCTGCGGCTTTCGCAGCTGAGACGCCCAGAGCGACTCGAAATTACTCAAAAATAAGACCAAATGGTAAACGTATCAAATTATATCCCCTCCTCCCTCCGCGGCCAGCTTCCCTCGGGCCCCCGCTCTCCTCTCTCTCGCTCTTTCACCGATACTCCGTACTCAACCTCCGTGTACTCTCCCGTCCTTCTCTCTCGATCTCTCTATATCTCTCCGGTATCGCATTTTTGCCGGTAAAAGTCGCTCCCGCGCGCTCGCCGCATCGCACTCTAATGCGTTTTTAATTGTCGCTAAGCGTGCGACGAGACGTCGTTAGTTTCGCACGCGAAACGCACGCGAAACTAACGACGGCTGACGCGTTTGGGAAACGAATGAAAATGGTAAGCTGGATGCGCCGACGTTCCATAATTTGTGTTATTACATTCGTTAAGAAAGAGCGCTTGGGCTTCCGAAAGGGGCAAAAGTTTTTTCTAGAAGAGTAAGAGACTCTACTAAAATCGAAAAAAATATTGCTCAAGAAAAAACTGTCAATTTTTATACCAAGTTTTTGAAACCCTTTTTTTTTAGGAGATTTTTCTTCTTTATTAAAAGTCAGTAAAATTGCAAGGGAACTTATAATGTGACATTACCGTATTTTACTGATTCCTCGACTTTATTATTTCTCGGGGCTACCGTAATTTCAACGATCGTCGTCGTACTTTTTCATCGAAGTAATTTCATCGCGTATCTGAAATAATTAACTGTGACGCTATTAATTATTCGAAAACGATCTATTTAATTCCGTTTGCCGTCGGATAATTTCAATTGGGCAATTGGCCGTAAATATAGTGAATTGTGCGAGGTAAAGAGTTAATCTCGTCGGAAGTTTAATTAAAAGTTAGACCAATAGTTAATTCACGGCTGCGATGGCCTTGAACTTTAAAGTTGATGAAATTCGTCATTTCGTGTATTCTTATAAAGATCTTACAATTATAATAATATATGTAATTAATTATATGTAATTAATTCATTTATACAATTTATTTATACAAAAGTGATTAATCGCTCAATATCAGGTCGTAAAATTTTATAGTTCTCTCTATATCTATCTCCGCCTTCCTCCATAAAATAACCATTAAATAAGTTTTATATAATAATAATGACGATATATATGTGGCCTAAGTATCCTTGTCATAA